CCTCAGGCACACACTTGCTTGTTTGTATGCATGCATTAGTGACGGCAAGTGTGTGCCTGAGGCATGCGGCAAAGAAGTGTGTGCCTGCCAGGCATGCAGAAAAGAAGTATGTGCCTGCCAGACATGCAGAAAAGAAGTGTATGCCTGCAGGCACGCACCTGCATGCCTGGCACACACTTGAGTTTGCAGAGTGGCTTAAGGCATCGCCGTTCTCTTCCGAGAACGGCCGTTCGGTTTCTGAGGAGAGCAGAGGAGGCGTGACCAGACCAACTAGCACTTATCGTAGTGTCCGCACGTATGATTAGGAGAAAGAAGGACGACTAAATCTTTTACTTATTCGTTTTACAGATTTTTGTCACTTTTGCGCTGCAGGCAGAAAGGCAAACAAGAAATCTTTCCCGTTTGTCGCGAGTCCTGGACGTGCTGATGGCAAACGTGCTGAATTCGTTTAGGCAGCTCTTTCCAAGTGGGCACCTGGTGAGAATAGTGCCGCAAAAACTAGAACTTAATCGCGCTGGTAAGTTCTCTATCTAACTCTGAGGGTTGACTCCTTGAGCGGCAACTGTGGTGGAGCGGCAGTCGTGGTAGTTGAAGATGCCGGTGGTGGAGGAGCAGTAGTAGTGGTCGTAGAAGAAGGCGGGGGCTGGGCAGACCGGGCCTTACGGACTCGTGGTGGAGCGGCAGTAGTGGTAGTTGAAGATGCCGGTGGTGGAGGAGCAGTAGTAGTGGTCGTAGAAGAAGGCGGGGGCTGGGCAGACCGGGCCTTACGGACTCGTGGTGGAGCGGCAGTCGTGGTAGTTGAAGATGCCGGTGGTGGAGGTGCAGTAGTAGTGGTCGTAGAAGAAACCGGTGGCTGGGAGACGGAGACCTCGGCCGTGCGAGAGCTGGCACGTGCAGTGAAGCTCCGGTGGTGGAGAGCATATATGTCGTGCGTGGTGCGAGGGTCACTGCCTGCGAACGGCCTGACAGCACATGTGGTGAAGCTTTCAGTGGCTGCGGACGCTGCGATAAGCATTACTTGGTGAGGTGGTGCGTCAATTACTTGCTGCGTTTATCGTGCTGGTCTCACTTACCACAGCGCAGAGCGCAGCCACGACGAAGACGAGGGCCCTCATGGTTGAATGATGCGTTGGTCGGTTCTGCTGGCCGTTTTATACGCGAAACATATTCAAGGCGTAGCGTTTCATTTCATGCTGCACGCCTCACGACGTCGTGGCTTTCCTTTAGTGCCTTCAGAATATTCCATTATTGCAATGGCCGTGCCAAGCCATTTCTTTTGCCGTGTTTCCCGTTATTCACGACGTCGGGTCTCTGACACGTGGAACACCGATCCTGCAGCGTTTGAGCTGTGAGGTGTCCATTGGCCTTCTGGGCAGGCCTCCGTGAAGACCTGCGTGAGATCTTCCTGGTGCTCGACAGCACCTAAAGATTCAACTAGGCAAATGAAAAAGGGTTTGAGCGCTGCATCTCAAATTTGATATTTAACTTCAACAACGCTTTTAATTTTCCCGTCTTGTGAAGGTACTGCGTGCGGTTTTGATGTAGTCGAAACGAAAGAAACATTGCGGTCTGGCCAGCAGTGGTAATCACGCCGCAGTGGTGTCACGGCCCCGCCTGCCCCGCCACACGCGGCCTGTTAGATGCGCACGCGCCCAGCGCACGCCGCCCACGCACGCGATGAGGGGGTGTTTGCTGTTACTGCCGTATGTCACTTTTTAGTGGGTCAATTACGTTCTCTGATTCCGGATTCAGCCAAAGTAGTTTCGCCTAACCCACCACGTACCGGGCAAAAAAAAAAAAAAAGAGAATAAATTGTCTTTGTTGTGCGTTTCACACAAGCGCGCTCGCTCGTGTTCCGTGGAGGGCGGCAGAAGACATTGTTATGTAGTCATATTATTCACTAATATTCCGCTCCGCGTTCAGCAGCAATGTAAGAAAAAAATCAATGTGAAAAAAGGCGGGAACGTAAATTTAATAGGCTGCTGGCGCACAAAGCGTTTCAATGAGGAAGAGACTACGTACTTTGGAGATGTTTCCCGAAGTCGTTCCGAATTCTATCATGGGAGGCGGCGTCCCCTGACTTCCTTTTCCACATTTCCTTTCCACTCTACGCGTGCAGCCAACACCAAATGTAGCGTCGCCGATCGACGTTCGAAAATCCATCAAAGCCGTCCCAGGCACGGCCGAGCCGAGGCGCGTCGCCATGCGAACATAGACGGGCCCAAAGTACGACCCATCCCACGCCATCCCGTCACAATCCTTCCTGGTTCAGTGGCGAGTCATTTGTTTCTTCTCCTGCCGCGATGCTCCTTCGAGCCTCGGGGTGAAATCCAGTTAGGTACAAAGTACGAAGCTGCCCAGTGAATGTAAACTCTTCTCTCCGCAGCCGCGCCGAACGCCACGTCGCGCCACGCCACGCCACACTCGCACCGCCATCCCATCGATATAATCCTCTTCACTTTTTTCCGGGCCAGATTGTAAGCAATTCCATCCGGAACGAAGAAAGAACAAACTGATTGTATTCCCTCACGCTGTCTGACTCCAGAGCAGGCTCGGAGGCCGACCTCCTTTCCCCCTCCCCTTTCTCTCTCCTGGACTCGACGCTCTCTCCTCCGGGGGAAGTAACGCTCCAAGCGTGACTCCATTTTGGGGACGTGATTGATAAAATAAATAAAAAGCGACTCCTGTTTGGCGCAAATCAGCCGCGACGCTGGCGCCCTCTATTCGTTTCGCCCTTTTTTCCTTTTTTCTTCGTTTTCCTCGTCGCAATCCACGTTTCAGGGCGAGCACCACAGTTAATTGAATAAAATGAATATCGGTACGCGTATGTGGCAGCGACACTGTGAGTGTGAGCGTGTGTGGTCAACGAGGGCGGTGAAATGCGCCAGCTGGCGGCTGCTGGCGGCAGCGTGGAGCAAGGGGCACACGACCGGGGTGGGAGAGGAGGTCCCCTGGGACCGTATTATTGGTGGACGCGCAGGGCGTTTGCGGCTAACAAGGCCCTTCTCTCCGCCCGCCCCGCCCGCCCCGCCCGCTCCGCCTCCTTCGAGGCTGTGGGGCACTGTACGGGCGCAGCTCTGTCCTTGTCCACCGCAGCGTGCCGACGCGGGGGAGAGAGACGGAGAGCGGACGGACGGACAGACAGACGGACAGACGGAGAAAGTGGGTGGAAGGGGTGTGACCCACACGAAGATGCCAACATGGTGGTTACTACTTGCGTGGAGTTGAATAAGTAGCCCGGTCCCTGGAAGGCGAGCAGGCTCCACTGACTCTGGTAATCACGTCTCTGCCCCAAACTGGGTGGGACTGGCTTGGACTGGGGGGCGAGGGTCTTTGCGCCGAGGAGGGTCTTTGGAGGGGGGCCACCCTGCGGCAAATCGAAATGATGTTATGAGGAATCTGTCGGCGCTGACGCGATCCGTATTCGTGAGATCGCGTTGTTCACACGCTGTAAGTAATGGCGGCATGTTTAATGCATGGCCTTCGTCACAGAGCGGCGTGGCGTTCCGTGGTGGCGGTGCGTGGCGCGAAGCGCGGGACACCCATAAAAGACTTGCTTTCTATGCGACCACCCGCCGTGACGTCACCGCAAAAATGCGAGACATGAGTGACGGTGTGTCGCGGCGTGACCAGCGGCGACTTGACGACGGCGGCACGGCGACATGGCGCGTCTCTCGAAACGACCAGAAAACGTGACGCCCTTAACAAAGTAGTCACGGCTGCGCCGCGTCCATAATTACTCAACCCTTGCAATCGTCGCGATACTTACTTGTGTAATGATGCCCAGTGCTGTCGAATAGGCCGGGATTTGTCGAGGGGGAGGGGGAGACTCTGCTAGAGGCGGCCTGCCTCGCCTCGCCGGCCTCGAGGGAGCACTCCGCCGGATAATCCCGCTATCAATTTCTAGGGCTGGGGGAACACCGGGGAACACAGACAGTGTTGCCAACCGCCGCTGCGCCGATAAACGCTGCAACAAGCATCGCATCGATGTGCCGCGGCACTGCCGCCCTGCCGAGATTGCAGCGGGGCTGCCAACCGATACCGCGCCCGGCTCCAAATAAAGAGAAATCGGAAAACAGTTTCCGGGAGGGCTCGTCTGCTCGTCGCGCTGTGGCACAGTGGGCCAGAAAACCGGTGGATGCGGTCAAAATCTCCGAGGCGTTTGAACCCAGAGTCGCTGAATTGGATTCGAACAGGACGAGTGCCCGCACCAATAGAATGCTCTCCAAACGAGGAATTCATTGGTGAGGTCACACGTTAGGTTCGAGCCTTATTTAGGGACTCTGGAGCTCAAAATGCGTCTAGAGTTTTGGCCACCTCCACCGGTCTGCTGGCCCACTATGTAGCGAGAATGCTGAACCTGACGGCGGATGCTGCCTGAACACGGAGCGTGTACAGATGGCATAATTGTGGAGGAATCAAGGCCCTCGCAGCCACTGGTTATAATTCACTTATACGTGGCGCCGCGCTGCCGCGCTCCGCCATCCATCGCCGGGTGGCAACCACTCCCCCCGGACGGGAGCGGCGCGGAGCAGTGCGGCAACTCTACAACCCCGACACGTTTTCTATTGCTCGTGTTTATATCCAGCTTGTTTGCGGCGCCGCGATTCCGCCCCGTTTTTTCTCTATTTTTTTTTTGTAGTCACATGTGCCTTCCGTCTTGTGGAGGCCGACGTCACGAGTAACGAGACGCCTCGTGGGAAAAGGCGTCCAGCAGACGGATTCACGCTGTCTCTCTCCCACTCATGAGGCGTCTCCTGTAGGAGCAAGGGAGACAGAGCGACGAAAAGGGCTCTCGGAATCAGTCTGTGCTTGGCGTCAGAGCGGTTCGCACGACAGCCACACCTACAGCGACTTTCGGTTCGAACAGGTGCAGTGATTTCGTGGAGCCAGGGCTGTTAACGGCGTTAATGACGTTATCGTCGCAATGGCGTCGCGGTGTTTTTCAGAGCTTTAGCGTATAAAAGGGCCAGCCGCACGGGCCAAGGCATCACTCCACCATGAGGGCTTTCGTCTTCATCTTGGCTGCGCTCTGCGCTGTGGTAAGTGACACCAGCAGGACGAAAGCCAACGCAAGTTATTTTGGGTCGGAGCCACTTTCAACAAATGTTGCTTCGCTGCAGGCCGTGACCAGCGAGCCACTAAAGAAACCACCCCCTGGCGAGCTTTTGGCGGGGCTCGATCGGAAGGCAAGGTCTCCACCACCACCTGCAGTAGAGCCCAGAAGACCACATAGACCACCACCGTCCCATGGATCAGGACCACAACCTGCAGTAGAGCCTCAGTCTCGTGGACCTCGGTCTCCACCTCCGCCACCACCTGCAGTAGAGCCCCAAGGACCACCACCACCATCCCGTGGTCCCAGGTCTCCACCCCCACCACCACCAGCAGTTGAGCCCCAAGGACCACCACCACCATCCCGTGGACCCAGGTCTCCTCCTCCACCACCTGCAGTAGAGCCCCAAGGACCACCACCACCACCATCCCGTGGACCCAGGTCTCCTCCTCCACCACCTGCAGTAGAGCCCCAAGGACCACCACCACCATCCCGTGGACCCAGGTCTCTTCCTCCACCACCACCAGCAGTTGAGCCCCAAGGACCACCACCACCACCATCCCGCGGACCCAGGTCTCCTCCCCCACCACCTGCAGTAGAGCCCCAAGGACCACCACCACCATCCCGCGGACCCAGGTCTCCTCCCCCACCACCTGCAGTAGAGCCCCAAGGACCACCACCACCACCATCCCGTGGACCCAGGTCTCCTCCACCACCACCAGCAGTTGAGCCCCAAGGACCACCACCACCACCATCCCGTGGACCCAGGTCTCCTCCTCCACCACCACCAGCAGTTGATCCGCAAGGACCACCACCACCATCCCGTGGACCCAGAGGTCTTAAGGGTCACATTTACGGTGGTCCCGCGCATCTTCTTTACCGACCATCAGCGTTTTAATTATGTTGTTGGCCTAATTAGTTGGTATTTTTTCATGTAAATAAAATGACCAACATCGCATTTTCGCCAAATCTCTTCCCGTGTTGGGCGTTCCTCGCACCGCTCCCGGGTGTCCCCAACAAGTCCTCGGCGCGTGAGTGGATGGCCCCGCCTCGCGCGCGTGTAACGGCACAAGCGGAAACACCATCGGGAACCCCATTGGGAGCCCCGTATAAAAATGGAAATGAGTTGACACGCCGCAATGGCCTGTATCATCGGCCGGGCTGCGAGGGAACTACTTGGTGGCGGCAAGGGCCGCACACGTATGTCTCTCGTGCGTCGCCAATAAAATTGATCTTCCAGAACGGCCCTTCGGAGAGCGTGCGCGGCGCGCGGCAGCGGATGGCGTCATTTTGCACAGCACCTCGCAGCAGACTGGTTCCGAGAGTCGCTCTGTCTCTCTCGCATCTGGGCTACGCCCCATGAGTGCGAGAGAGACAGAGTGATCTCGGAATCAGTCTGCAGATCACCTCGTGCAGAGCGCACGGCACGCGGAGACGTGATCTCGTTGCGGCGCCAACGAAGTGGACTCGGTGGAGTCGGATGGGTTTGAATCCGGAAACGGACAAATCACGCATGGGCTTCCTTCAGAGCGAGGTTAACAAAGTTTGTTTATTACATAACGTTTGATCGAGTAGAATTGAAACAACAATAATTATCGTAGTTTACATTGGCAAACAGAGAGTAACGATAAATTTTACAATCACATAACATGGCGGCGAGCAATAATACATACATATTTACACATTTTACTACAAGTTTGGAGAAGCCCTATTTGTCCCACGGACAAAAATATGATACAGAGTGCCTTTCACTATACCCGTATATGTACAGAAGAAGTTCGACGCCACAGAGCGCGGGCGAAGCACACTTTAACGAATGAATTTACTATTTACAACATCAGTAGAAACGGCAAGGTTTAGACTAGACCACCTGTTGAAAAACAAAATTAACAAATCCTAATTGAGTATGCTCTATATTATTGCTTTTCTGTAAAGCTCCCTGGACACAAGAATGAGTGATTCATAATGATACAAAGCACTTGTTTGTAAGTCTGCCGTCCCGCGCCAGCCGGCTGGCGAGGGGCTTCAGGGCGCCAGCTTGGCCTCGGCGGGCGAGAGGCTGGCTGGCGGCAGCAGCGGCCCGTAGATCTGGTGGCAGGTGGTGCAGTCCACGCCCATCTTGAAGGGCTGCAGCGGGTCGCGGCCGTCTGGAAGGCACAGACACTGTCAGACAGGCCAAAGGGCGCAAATATTGCCCCACTTCCTCGTTCCCCGTGAAAGGCAGGGGGCCGCCAAAGGCGTCGCCAAATCCGCCATTAGCCGCGTGACCAGCGCGCCGTCTCTCTCGCACTCGTGGCGCCGCGCGGCACGCACCGCGGCACGCACCGCGGCACGCAGCGCGGCACGCACCGCGGGGACGCGAGAGAGACAGAGCGCTGTGGGGCTCTGCAGCCGGCCGGGCCGGCGCCGCAAAGGGTCGGCCCTTAATTGGGGATTTGGGGGATCGCATGCAAAGGGCCGAGCGAAGGGAGCGGCGGAAGGGCCCTCTTTGAGAGTCGTCGCGTCTTCGCGACAAAAGTGACGCGTGCGTCGCTGTGCGTCACCACGGTGAATGGAGGGCGAGAGAGAGGGACTGCGCAGGTGGGCCAACATGAAGAGCGTGGTTCTCGGTCTGTGGGGTCCTTCGGCTCGAGGCCGAGACCCAAGGCCGGCGGCACGGCCGGAGTCGGAACTACCGAGTGGAACTAGCGTGCCGTACCGCGTACCGCACCCCCCTTTGAAGGCCGTGGCGGCGACAACGTCATTTACAACTTCTAATCCGCACCGTTCCTCAACTCTGAGGCCCTCTCTCTCTCCATTCACCGCGGCGAACACACCGCCGGTTTGAATTCTCAATTAATTGAGCGCCGTTTAAGTCGGCTTAGGTCGCCATCGAATTGCCGCGAGCCATTACTCCGCGGTCTCCATCGGGATGGGGCACTCCTCATTCTGTCTCTCTCGCCCCGACGGTGCACTCGCGAGAGCGAGAGAGACAGAGCGAGGAGTGTGGGCAGGGCCTCACCCAGGACCTCACCTCTTAGCAGGTGCAGGTGGCGGTACAGGTGCTCCTGCCGCCGCTCCAGGGACAGCCTCGCCGTGGCCACCGCCCACAGGCCCTCCTCGCCGACTGCAACACAAAAATTACAAAATTTAAAAAAATATGTAAAATATTTTAAAAAATTTTAAAAAATTTTCTTTTTGAAATTGAATTGCTAGCTCTTTCGATGACTACTCACTTTCAGGCGTGAGGGGCCGGATGTGCGCGTGAGGCTTCGGGGAAACCTGAAACAAGCGAAGGCAATCGGTTAGACTGGCTGGAGCGGGCTGGAGCGGGCGCCCGGCGGGTAGGCACCACGCGCACACCCGTGCGCGGCGGCCCGTGGCGCTGCCTACCCGCCGGGCGCTATTGCCAGCGCCAGCGCCAGTGCCGGGCCGCCACGCACAGTTAACTGGAGCGTTTGAACGGGCGGCGCTATCTGATGTGGCACGGTCTGGCCGGGCCTGGCTGGGTCTGGCCGGCGGCAGTGCACCACCACACGACAGACGGCCCGTACAAGTGTCACGTAACGAGGCGATCGACGAGCTCACGACGAATCCGACGCTCGGATAGCGCACTAGAAAGATCGCTGTTTTGAACTCAGTTGTTTCTTCGCCCCGTTGCAGCTGGTTCTTAGCCAAGACACCAAGGCAACCAAGGCCGCGCTGCGTTGTGGCGATTCATTAGACGGCCGCTCAGTTTGGCCCGGCCGATGCATGCACGGCATGCAGGGCGCCCCGTTGGTCAATACGGCCCGGCACGGCCCGGCTCCAGGCTTCGGCTATTTCCACTCCGACATGCGAGGCGTGCCGGGCCGTGCCGGGCCGTGCCGGGCACGCCGCGCTGTCCCCAATAATAAACACTCCACGCGTATCGCCGGTCCCGCATCGCGTTCCGAGGTGATAAAATAGTAAAGGACTCAAAGGACCCCACCCCGTTGCCATCGGCCCCCAAAACGCAGCGAGGTCATCAGTTTTTTTTTCGACAGTGGGGGAAGCACACAAATAACACAACTAACTCCGGTACATACCGGTTCAACATTTTCAGTTTGGACCCACTTTAGTCGGCTTCCTCGACAGTCGTTTTCGAGGCTCCCCGCCGCTGACTTTAAAAGGAAGTTGGTGCCTCCGGAGAGGGGCGCACACCGTGAGCTTCTTCCGGGCGCCTCCGCGCGCAACGCGCGTCGCACAGCATTTCGGCAGTCGACACATTCGCGGCCGCGTCTAGTGTGCGTGTGTGTGGGTGTGTGTGTTGGTGTGTATTTACGCGTGCATATTTGTGTGGGCGCGTGTGTGAGTTGCGCAAGGCGAAAGGGGATGTCGGAACTGATACGCGGTGTGCCGAATGTATAGAGCGTTCACAGGCAAGTGAATAATTGAAAACCCTCCCCAGCTTTGCTCCCCTCCTCCCCCTTCCCTCTCCCGACCTCATAATGCTTATTTTGCACGCAGTTCGGGCGCCGCGCTTCGTTTCGGTTTCAGGTGAATGAATGGGGGATTTGCCGGTGGCGGTCGGTGGGCGCGCGGTGCCATGGCGGTGCCGCACACGGCCAGCACCACGCGCTCCACGCTCCGCACTCCGCACTCCGCACTCCGCGCGCTCAAAGCGGGGAAGGAAACATTTTTCGTTTTGATCCGCTAATCAAGAGCACCGCGACCGTCGCTCGCGCGTCGCTCTTCCTCCACGGATTAATGGTACGGTGTGCTTAAGCGCCGCCCTCTTGTTTTTGCTGTTTAAACCAGGGGGGAAGAAGAAGAAGAAGAAGAAGAAGAAGAAGAAGAAGAAGAAGAAGAAGAAGAAGAAGAAGAAGAAGAAGAAGAAGAAGAAGAAGAAGAAGAAGAAGAAGAAGAAGAAGAAGAAGAAGAAGCAAGAAAGCGTTCCGGTTCATCAAGGTCGCCACGGCGGCCCTTCTTAGAAGCATGTCGTTGTGCCTTGCTCGTGCCACACACGGTGTTTGCCTGTGTCCTCCATAAGAACCGCGATGAATCGAAAAGAAGTGACAGAACGCGACCGGCATGAGGTAAACAGAGAGAGATTGTGTGTGTGTGTGTGTGAGTGTCCTTTCGGTCAAACAGGTGCAAGTGCGAGGGGCGAGGAGGTAATCATAAGTGTAATCGTCTCTATCTCTCCACGGCCAAATGACGGGGCGGCACGGATTGCTGGGGGGATGAGGGAGGGAGAGAGAGAGAAAGAGAGAGAGAGAGAGAGAGAGAGAGAGAGAGAGAGAGAGAGAGAGAGAGAGAGAGAGAGAAGGCCGCCAGTAAGCCCGAGTCGACAGATGCCGAGATATCTATCTGCCAGTGTTAAAGCCGCGGCCGCTGGGGACCGCCGGGGACTGCTTGCACCGCGCCGTGACCTTCTCCCCTCCCTTACCTTCTCCTCCCCTCCCTTCCCCTCCACGTCCTTCACGCCGTCCTTGCCCTCCTTCCACCCGCCCATTCAAAACTGTAAATTGACCATCAGCGGGGTTAAATGTAGATACAGTGCTGTTATTACACACCGTATGGCTGCTTAGAACGATTTAAAAAGAGGTCTTCAGACATCCTCCACACGGCGAAGGGGTCACTCTCGGCCTTGTCATGGACTTCACCCAATAAAGGCGTTTCTGGAACCAAAATAATGTTCTTGCCATCAGTGAATTTTCTTGACACATCCAAGAAAATTCAATTATGACAAGTAAATTATCTATTGGTTCAAGAAACGTCCTCTTTGGGTGTTTATCGAGGTGAAAACACCCTAACACCCTAGCCCAAACCGAAGAGGCAGTGCACTCGGCCACGGTGCAGTGCGTCTGGTTGGAGATGACAGCAACGCTAACGACGTTTTAGAACGAGTTTTCCCGGCCGCACCACGACACGGAAAAGCTTCCGCCCCGTGTTCCTTCACAGGCCGTCGTCGTCCCAGCACGGCCAGGAGCGCCAGGACAGGGCAGGGCGCTCCCCTTTCCAGAAAACTGTGTGTTATTTGTCGTTCCGACGTGCGGCGCTGCGAAGAGTGGCCACGGGTCATTGCCGCGACGAGCCGCACCTGCCACCCGCCGCGCCGCGCCTCGCCCGAGCATCGGCCGTTCAAGTCTCCCGGGAGAGCGAGCGAGACGGCGCATATTGCACGCTCAAAACACGGCAGTTCCGCAGCGCGGTGTTTCCCGGCCGACGATGACGATCGCGCGCTGAGAAAAACAAAAACAAAAAACGATCGCCTGTCGATTTTACTTAACGACCGCCACGCTTAATGACACCTCGGTACGTCGCGTGCGCCGTAACACGACACGCGCCACTCCACACACACACGAGCGAGTCCGTGAGCGCACGCACACAGACACACACAAGACACCTGATTGCCCCCGACAAACCTCTCCCGCCAGTTTGTAACGACCGCCATTGGCATCGGCAGTGACGTCATTGGAATTTGAATAAGTCTCCCTCCACGCGCCATTCGCCGCCTAGGATTGCATCGTTTGCCGTAACGTCCCACGCCCACGCCAGCGGGGCAGCGGGGCGCAGCGGGGCCCTTCCGCAGGCGTCCTTCTCTCCCACACGCGGAGCAACCCCTTACGAAGACCTCTCTCGCGCACACACGCTCGCCCCGCCTCCGCGCTCGCTCTGCCTGGTTCTGCCCTTCTACGCCCCCCCCCCCTCTCTCTCTCCCGCCCCTGGCGGAACCGACCTCTTCTTTCATTACTCCGGCCGTCTCGTCGCCGCGAAACGAATGTTATTTATCCTGGTGAGTGCGAAACTTAAGATTGGGTCGTCTGGGAGAGAAATGTGGCACCGCCGGCGCGGCCAGACAAACGGCTGCGACGAGCCGCCGCCCGCCTGCCCTCCTCGTGTAGTTTTCTCCTTCTTGTCGTTTCTGTTTTTGTTTTTCGGAGAGCGCGCGTGTCGTGTACAGTGTAGCAGTGTAAGTGGGCCAACCAGCTTCGGTGGTGGTGGCTACACCGCAATCACGCTGCACGACGGAGGATAATCGACAATTGACAGCGTGTGTGTAATGGTCGACCCATCGCGTAGAAAGAAGCAGAAGCAGAAGAAGAAGAAGAAGAAGAAGAAGAAGAAGAAGAAGAAGAAGAAGAAGAAGAAGAAGAAGAAGAAGAAGAAGAAGAAGAAGAAAGAAGGAGAAGAGCGTCCACACTGATTCAATCGCCGTGTGCGTTATTGCCCTGTTATTCGGCTGTTATTCCCCGCGCTGCCGCTCCACGCCTCTCCCCGGGGAGGTGGCGAGTGGCGGCGCGGCGGCGTGGCGGCGTGGCGGTGCACTGGATGGGGACCGCGGACCGCGGGCCGCCCTGACGGATGACCGGCACGAAGCAGTGCCAAGCAGTGCGAAGCGGAGCGAAGCAGCAGCCGCGGATTCCGTGCGGCAGCGCTCCCGTCGCTCTGTCTCTCTCGCACTCGAGGGACGACCCGAGCGGGTGCGACAAAGACAGAGCGCTGCAACGCCGCCGAGCGGAATCGGCCTGTGCCCCAAGAATCATCAAAAATAGAGGCGCGCTCAATGGCGGCGCCGAGTTGCTTGGAGCCGGTGGAGCGGCCCCATTCAACGTGTGCAAAGATGGGCGAGCGCCTGCAGTCAAACACAGGAGTCGCTCCGCCGCGGCTTTCACAAATTCATTTTCCAGTAATCCTCGCGCTGCTCGCGGTTAACAATTCACGAACGCCCGACGGCGCGGCAGAAGCACCAGCAGCGGGGCCGCCGCGCCCGCCTGGCCGCGCCGCCCCCACGCCGCCCCACGCCACAGACAATTAGATTTAATTGAAAAGAGTCTAAATTAAGCTTTTAAGAGCAGCTTTTACCTGTGAGATGTTGGCACATCATTAACTAAGCACGGCGTCTCGGTGCGTGTGGCGGTGCTCGAGTTGGCGTTGGCTCTGCAAATGTTTCCCCGGTCCAGCGTCACGGCCCGCTTGTTAGCGGCCACGTGCACGTGGTGCTCGCGGTGCACCCCTGAAGCTGCGCCACGCGCCGCCACCACTGCCAGCGTGCTTCCCACGAGGCGAGAGATGGGAGCGGCCAGGTGAGGGCACTCCCCCCATGGCGCACAGTCAGAAAGGAGTGCCCATACTACTGCGACCCCCGCACGTTCGATGGAATGATCGAAAGCTAGAAATGCAGCCATCCTTTCCCCGGCCGGTCTGCGGCGGTGGCCCGGTTTCGTTTGCGCTGAATTAAAAGCTATTACGCGATTGTCCCTCGATGTTTGCCCGGCCGTGCGTGCGCTGGCGTGCGCCGCCGCGCCATTGTGTCC